AGTAATCAGAGTTACAGTGATGTCATTATAGACAGACGGAACTCCACCCTCCTATCCTTTACAGCTGGGCTAGGCAAACTCTGCCCCCCTAGCTGTGGTGAAACTACAAATTCCATGATATATCTGTCTCTGGGAGGCATGCTTGTAACTGTCAGTCTTGCAATGCCTCATGGGACTTGTAGTTGCAGGGGCCGGAGTTTGCCCACCTCTGATATAGAATAACAGAGGAGTATAATGCTGTGAATGAATGACATTGATCCATTCTCCTTTGTCCTTTTAGTTTCCTATCCCTGGTACCGGAGGAGATGAAGTCTTCAGACTCCGGATTTGATAGTTATCTGCAGGATGCTCTGGTCCAGGTGAGACGGTTGCAGTTAAAGTTTAGCTCTAGGTACATATAAAAGACCCTAATTAAGGGCTCGTTCACACCAGTTGTGGTGAGACTGGTGTTTTTCTGCACTGGATCAATGCCAGTCACCGCAAGGGCACAGAAAAAAAATATTGTTTTCTGTATACTGTTTACACCACAATGTAGATGTGAAGTGCGATGCAGAAAACATGCAACATTTTTCCCCAGCACACTGGATGGCACCGGAGGTCTCCGCAGTGCACACTATGCTGCTGTGTGGAGACTTTGAATGGAGTGTACTCTTTGTGCACTGCCAATAAAGTTCCTTTAAAAAAAAAAGGAAACCGCACCTTGCGTTATAATGTCACAAGGCACTGCTGCACACCAGCCATGTGCTAAAAGGGAACATTTTAGCGTGCAGCTGGTGTGAACCGGCCCTATATGTATTTCTTAAATGCAAGCAATGTAAGCACCTGTATTTGACGGCCACTTCCAGTCCCCATACAGCATGGCTGGAATGTGAGAGGAAGAATCGGCACAAGGAGCCTGTCAGTTGTGCTGACAAGAAGAGAGCTGATAGGAGCAGAGAGATGAGCTCATTAGTGTGCTGCTTCTCCTTTTACTGTCCAATCACAGACTAGGGCGGGTTCAGGAGGACCTGGGCTCAGAGGAAGAGGGTTGAAAGATGCTGGCCATGAGGACATCCTTTAGAGGGTGGGGCTTGCTGGGTCCCTCCAACAGCTCTGGTTTCTGCACAGGTTATGTACAGCACTACTTTTCTATGGTACTAATGAATTCAGCCATCCAATGTCCGAGCCTCTACTGCCCACTGAAGGTCTGGCATTTAAATGGCCAGAGATGTTGCTTAAACTTATTTGGTCAGCTGACGGTGCCCCATGTATAGCCTCAGCCTCGGATCTACAGAGCTCCACACACAGGGACACGGTGATTGTTTTGCAGACTAGCACAAGTACTTGCGGGTACCTATTACAACAATGCTGTGCTCTTAGAAATGTTATAGTTCTGGGTCCGGTTCAACTTTTCGGATTAGGCCAGGAGGGAGCAACTCCAGCCCTCCAGCTGTTGTGGGACTACAAGTCCCATGAAGCATTGCAAGACTGACAGTAACAGCCTTGACTCCCATAGGCATGTTGGGATTTGTAGTTAAAGCACTGCTGGAGGGCCGGAGTTGCTCACGCCTGGGTTAGGCCATACCATTTTGTTGTTTGTTAGTAACATCGCCGTCTTGTCTTCTCTACACAGCACCAAAGCTGCTGTAAGCTGGCATCACATTGGAGCTGGCCAGCAGCCCTGCAGCCTTTCAGCACCGACACCTCTGGAGAGGAATTCTTTGAGGGTCACTTCCTGCAGGTCGTGTTTGATCGTCTTGGGGGAATCCTCGATCAGGTATTGTATTTTATTGTCTCTGGCCAGCTTCATACTAGCTGATTTGATTACCACTGCACTGGACTCTATGAGAGTATTGTGGTGCAGGAGCAACATTTGTATTCTAAAGCAACATCGCCGCGCACAGATTATCAGTATATTTCGTTCCTGTGTTGGCTGTACAATTGATTGCCCATATTTTCACATGTTGTCTGACTCGCAGGTAATAACCCATCTGTTTCACCTGCTTTTGTTTTTCAGCCATATGAAATGAATCTACAAGTCACTTCCTTACTCACTCGCATTGCCCTGTTTCCTCACCCTCACATCCAGGAGTATCTTCTGGATCCTTATATTAATCTGGCCCCGGGGGCCCGATCTCTGTTTTCTGTGCTCGTACGGGTGAGACCTTTTATCTAAAATTACTTGTACCCCCCATGTTTTATTTCACCTACAGTTCAAGGAAACCATTACTGAGATACACCGTGTGGGCACCTGACCATCACACCTGTATGGGGACGTCCCATTCCAACAACATGGGCATTAATATGGAGTTGCCCCCAAAACCTCCACCTTGTAGTTTAACAGCCTCCACTTCATTTCCCACAAGATTTTGGAGTGTCTGTGAGATTCTTTAGGTAAAAAACCAGCACTTGCAAAGGAGATTTGTCCACCCAGTACTTTATTTGTAGAAAGGCATAACAGCAAACAAATGCTTACATGTTTCAGCCCCCACACTGGGCCTGAGGCGGAAGCTTTACCAGGCACCGAGGTTCAAGCAGTGGGATTGGAGACAAGAGGGTAGAGCTGCTCAATGTTTCTAATCTTTACTCGTTCAATTAGAGGAGCATTTATGAGATTGGGTACTGATGGAAATACATAAGGCCGGTCTCAAAATAGGCATCCCAGTTCATTCCAAAGGTGTCCAGTAGGGTTGCGTTCCAGTTTTGATGCAGGCCACGCAAGTTCCCCCGCACCAAACTCGCAAAATCATGTCTTTCTTGGATATGACTTTTTGCTGGAACCGTAAAGGATCACCCCCCAAGCTGCTGCCACAAGGTTGGAAGTCCACAATTGTCTAACATGTCTTTGTAGGCTGTAGTATTATTGACGGCCTTTACTAGAAGCACCCGAACTCAAACATTTAGAGACCCGTGCACATAGTGGGTGTGATGGTCAAGCGTCCACAAATGTTTTGCCATATAGTGTAAATATGGAGGCTGCCATTACTGAGCTTTTGGAAAATGCTAGCTGTCTGGCTTCAGTACTTTGAGGAACTGACCTGGAGCAAGCAATGGAGATGAGGAAAGACGGAGTGAAGTCAGAACTCATGATCTGTATACCTGCTCTCAGTCAGAGACTTAGAAAGCACTGACATTATTGGATCAGCATTGCACCTTGCTACATAGTCTGTGAATATGGTGTAGCAGTTGGAGCATATGGGCACTCGCCGATACCAAGTACCGGTGCCTTGTGCCCTGATTATCAGGAAGTCGGGCGGTGGATCATGACCCGTCACCCAGTTTTCCTGATAGCCTGTGAAGCTGGTGATATTTCACTTGCTGAGGCAGCCTGGCTTCCTGACCTGGCTTCCTGAGGTGCTGCCCGGCTTCCTGATTAGTCAGGAAGCCAGGCTGCCTAGCAACAAGTGAAGCTGGCTTCCTAGCCAATCAGAAAACCAGGGCGGCACGTCATGACCCGCTTCCCGATTGGTTAGGAAGCCAGCTTTACAATGCTTCTAGTTCTTTAACCCTTTGTTAAAACAAATCTAGTTTACAACTGTTAATGAGATCTGCCAGCACAGTAGATGCATAATGTGAATGAGAACATGTAACAAATAGAACGTAGGTTTTATCCCAATTGGGCTGCAAAAGTGAAAATACACTTTAATACATCTTATAACGCAAAGGGTCAGGATCGATATTTCCAGCCATGTGACTCTCATTTTCAAATCTGATTGGGCTTAGGCACTTGTAGTATAAATCCGTTCACTGCGTCCAAAAAGCTAGAACCAAAATCAATTGGAACAGCGCGCTTCCAGACACTCCACCCAGCTCCTCGCTCTAATGTGTTTCACCAACTCATGGGGCTTAATCGTAGATCATTCCTCTGCCATTAGGCACTGGTTGGAGGTGAAACATGTTGGAGGAGCTGGGTGGAGAGATGAAAGCCTCATGGGTCTATAAATCTTTTTTTAGATTTGGGTAAGAGGTGTGCAGCTTTAAACGTACACGTATCTACAGTTTTTGGGAGGAATGGACCACTGGAGGAGCATGCATGCAGATGGGGATTAAACCACACCAGTTCTACCAGTGCTGCCACACAAAGTGTTATTACTCCGATGGAAATTGGCTGAAATCCTCATCAACTATAATGGGTTGTTATTGTTGTGAACGGAGCATACTGTGCTGGCTTTGTTGTATTGCTGGAAAATCACATTCCCCTGAGTTCTGATATTGTTATATACATTGGTGACCTCTCCCATCTAACTGACACTTGGTGATGCTGCAGGTGGTGGCAGATCTGGCTCAGCGCTCCCTGCGAGTGACGAATTTCCAGGAGACGTTGCACCTTGTGAGACAACAGCTGCTAGGAGAAACCCCTGAGGCACCGTAAGTACCTTGTATGTGCAAAACATGCATTCTAAAGAAAAGGGTTCCTGTATGGACAGCAGCCAGTAACATCTAAAGATCATGCTATTGGGAGCCAAGTGTCCCTGTAGAAGTCCTCTCACCAAGAATCTCCAAATCCAGAGGAGATGTCCATGTACAGGTGAAACTCGAATAATTAGAATATCGTGCAAAGTTCATTTATTTCACTAATGCAACTTAAAAGGTGAAAGTAATATATGAGATAGACTCATTACATGCAAAGCAAGATAATTCAAGCCGTGATTTGTCATCATTGTGATGATTATGGCTTACAGCTCATGAAAACCCCAAATACACAACCTCAAAAAAGTAGAATATTACATGCAATCAATAAAACAAGGATTGTACATAGAACAATATCAGACCTCTGAAAAGTACAAGCATGCATATGTACTCAGTACTTGGTTTGGGCCCCTTTTGCAGCACTTACTGCAATTACTTTTGCACGATATTCTAATTATTCGAGTTTCACCTGTATGTGAGGGGTACACAGGCACTGCTGCTCCTTATGGCAGAGGAGAATATCCACAACTGTAGAGAGAGGGTGCAACAGACCCCATGTATTACAATAGACACATTTATTATAACATATCGCCAGGTAATAGAGAACTACCCTTGCAGTAAGGTTATGTTCACGCTGCAAGGGTTAAAGTCCCGGCATACACTCTCCTGTTATAACATCAGCGTTGTGATAGGAATACATACTAGACATGTTTCCTTTTATGTAGTGAGCGCTGCCTTCCATCTGCCCATCACTTCCAACAACTTCCTGGATTCCCAGTGTGCTTTGCATCTCTTTCCCTCTCGCTTGATGTGATGCAAACTCAATTTTTCAAGACCACATATCCCATCATGCATTGCTTCCAGCAAGCAATGATGATGTTACATTGTTCAGTTGTAGGTCAGAAGGCAGACTCTGTGAGAGAGGTGACACTAGGAAGTGCATACGCACAGGGCTGAGTGACATGGTGTCAGTCCATCCTATGGGCATCTTCAGTAAGTAAGTTTACAAACCTCTAGATGGATCTGCTGATTAGGAGCGGGAGAGAACTTACGGAAATTCCATTCACACATACTTATAGTGTTTGACCATTGTTATCCTTTAACCCCTCGTTGATGTCTATAGTGTATTGTCTAAAGCACTTTTCCCTACCTGATCCCCGGCTCCAAGACCGATGCTTGCAACCCTAGTATCACTTCTTATTAGTATAGACGGCTCTTATCAATAGGATCACTTCTTATTAGTACAGACGGCTCTTATCAATAGGATCACTTCTTATTAGTACAGACGGCTCTTATCAATAGGATCACTTCTTATTAGTACAGACGGCTCTTATCAATAGGATCACTTCTTATTAGTACAGACGGCTCTTATCAATAGGATCACTTCTTATTAGTACAGACGGCTCTTATCAATAGGATCACTTCTTATTAGTACAGACGGCTCTTATCAATAGGATCACTTCTTATTAGTACAGACGGCTCTTATCAATAGGATCACTTCTTATTAGTACAGACGGCTCTTATCAATAGGATCACTTCTTATTAGTACAGACGGCTCTTATCAATAGGATCACTTCTTATTAGTACAGACGGCTCTTATCAATAGGATCACTTCTTATTAGTACAGACGGCTCTTATCAATAGGATCACTTCTTATTAGTACAGACGGCTCTTATCAATAGGATCACTTCTTATTAGTACAGACGGCTCTTATCAATAGGATCACTTCTTATTAGTACAGACGGCTCTTATCAATAGGATCACTTCTTATTAGTACAGACGGCTCTTATCAATAGGATCACTTCTTATTAGTACAGACGGCTCTTATCAATAGGATCACTTCTTATTAGTACAGACGGCTCTTATCAATAGGATCACTTCTTATTAGTACAGACGGCTCTTATCAATAGGATCACTTCTTATTAGTACAGACGGCTCTTATCAATAGGATCACTTCTTATTAGTACAGACGGCTCTTATCAATAGGATCACTTCTTATTAGTACAGACGGCTCTTATCAATAGGATCACTTCTTATTAGTACAGACGGCTCTTATCAATAGGATCACTTCTTATTAGTACAGACGGCTCTTATCAATAGGATCACTTCTTATTAGTACAGACGGCTCTTATCAATAGGATCACTTCTTATTAGTACAGACGGCTCTTATCAATAGGATCACTTCTTATTAGTACAGACGGCTCTTATCAATAGGATCACTTCTTATTAGTACAGACGGCTCTTATCAATAGGATCACTTCTTATTAGTACAGACGGCTCTTATCAATAGGATCACTTCTTATTAGTACAGACGGCTCTTATCAATAGGATCACTTCTTATTAGTACAGACGGCTCTTATCAATAGGATCACTTCTTATTAGTACAGACGGCTCTTATCAATAGGATCACTTCTTATTAGTACAGACGGCTCTTATCAATAGGATCACTTCTTATTAGTACAGACGGCTCTTATCAATAGGATCACTTCTTATTAGTACAGACGGCTCTTATCAATAGGATCACTTCTTATTAGTACAGACGGCTCTTATCAATAGGATCACTTCTTATTAGTACAGACGGCTCTTATCAATAGGATCACTTCTTATTAGTACAGACGGCTCTTATCAATAGGATCACTTCTTATTAGTACAGACGGCTCTTATCAATAGGATCACTTCTTATTAGTACAGACGGCTCTTATCAATAGGATCACTTCTTATTAGTACAGACGGCTCTTATCAATAGGATCACTTCTTATTAGTACAGACGGCTCTTATCAATAGGATCACTTCTTATTAGTACAGACGGCTCTTATCAATAGGATCACTTCTTATTAGTACAGACGGCTCTTATCAATAGGATCACTTCTTATTAGTACAGACGGCTCTTATCAATAGGATCACTTCTTATTAGTACAGACGGCTCTTATCAATAGGATCACTTCTTATTAGTACAGACGGCTCTTATCAATAGGATCACTTCTTATTAGTACAGACGGCTCTTATCAATAGGATCACTTCTTATTAGTACAGACGGCTCTTATCAATAGGATCACTTCTTATTAGTACAGACGGCTCTTATCAATAGGATCACTTCTTATTAGTACAGACGGCTCTTATCAATAGGATCACTTCTTATTAGTACAGACGGCTCTTATCAATAGGATCACTTCTTATTAGTACAGACGGCTCTTATCAATAGGATCACTTCTTATTAGTGGAGAGGACTCTTATCAATAGGATGTAGGGAGGCCAGGGGAGTACTATGTAGGGAGGCCAGGGGAGTACTATGTAGGGAGGGAAGGGGGTTACTATGTAGGGAGGGAAGGGGAGTACTATGTAGGGAGGGAAGGGGAGTACTATGTAGGGGGGGAAGGAGTGAAATATGTAGGGAGGGAAGGGGTGAAATATGTAGGGAGGGAAGGGGTGAAATATGTAGGGAGGGAAGGGGTGAACTATGTAGGGAGGAAAGGGGAATACTATGTAGGGAGGGAAGGGTTGGAGAAGCTGGGCCAGCACAGGCCGTGAGGAGACACCAGCATAAAAGGAGAGGGCTATGACATGCAAGTAGGGAGTGGGAACTGTAGTGGTTCAAAGGCACATTGCAAGTGAGTAAAACAATTTATGGAAAAGTAAAGAGCCGCCAGCATTTATAATACTTGATTTTCCTGAGCCTTTCCCTAACGCAATCAGAAGTCCTCCAGCCGAACACATACAGCAAAGCCTTCTTAGGACAGAAGGTCTTCTAATGTCTCATTGCATCACATATATAAGAGTTCACATAACCCGGGGCACTCAACTTTGTATCTCCTTTTATTGCTGCTATAAATCAGACCAAAAAAAACATTCCGGCCAATGGCCTGTCTGCATGCCGTGTGTTTAATCTAGACCCTATGGTGTGATGAATTGCTTCAGGGTGGTGTTGGCATCTGAATATATGGTGACCTCTGTGTGGAATGGCCTTTGTTATAAGTGTGTTAATCCTTCACATAATATAGACTGTCTGAACATCTCCACAGTTATTGTCGGCATCATTGAACAGCTTCTCAGAGTAATGGTCTTCCCTGTTTCCCTTTGGCAGACTGGGCCATGAGACTCTGTGTCGCGGAGTGGTAGTCCTGGAGGAGTTCTGCAAGGAGCTGGCGGCAGCGGCTTGTGTCACCCGTCACCCACTCGGTGTTTAACCAGTGACTTGGACATGGCCATGGATTCCAGTGCAATAAGTAACACTGTCCTTGTTATAGGGACATCAAGGACTAAATAAGTGGTTTTATACCTTCATGTGCCTTCTCTCCTGGACCACCAGGAAGCCAGCTTGACCACCGGTACTGTGCCTTACCGTCCTCCTATTGATGTGTCCTATCAAGTCATCAACCTGTAGATACTGAGCCGCCTATTGCGGCAATACGTGTGTATCTCTCGCTGCTACAAGGTTTCTTCACATCGATTTTATTTCCATTGATGACTTTTAATCCTCTCCAGCCCTGCAGGGTTTTATACTCTGATCCCTTTTAATGCTATTTTACAATCTCCTCCTGGGGTTGGTGTCACTCTTTGTGTTTTCATGCCGTGTTCGGGCCTCACGTACAACGCTATCTGAATGAAGAACTGTCTCAGCCAATGGGATTCAAACTACAGAATTACATTTTAAATCTGATTGGTTGTCTGAGATCGTTCCATTGGTAGCTGTATGAATAAGGTCCGGTATGAATGTACAGCTGGAGTGTTATACCTTCTATGCAGTGTATATGGTTGTGTTCATTAGCAGGGCTCAACAATTACTCCAGCGCTGGCACAGCTTGCACAGCAATGCTCCATAGACGTGAATGTGGCTGCATTCCAACACTAGAGCTACAGTCCCATATAAGTCTATGGGAAGTCTCTGTGTAGACGCAGCCAGTGCCGGAGAACAATTGTTGGGCCCTACACAGTACAGCCCCATAAGCTATTCCATAGAAAAGAATCATCCACACTCCGGACTTAATCACTCTTTATGTAATATCATCAATGCCTAAGAAATATTGGGCACCCGGTAAGTAAAAATCAATATACTTGGCTAGTAGCTTTTGGAATTTCATTGGCCATTTAGAGCAAATACTTCCTATGGACTGATTCCACTCCTGGACCGCCAAAAGGGGATACCCATCCCAGCACATGGCATGATGTATGGCAGGGGTAGCCAAATTTCGGATCTCCAACTACCTTTTGGACGTCATGCTTGGAGACTTGCAGTGCCTCATGGGACTTGCAGTTCCACAGAAGATGGAGGGACATATAGTTTGCCTACCCACAATGTAAGGTGTGCATTCTAAAATGGACACTGAAACTGAGAGCTGAGCACATTACTTTTTACTCACTGGGCGCCCGATGTTTCTTGACTTTGTTCACTAGTATTTTTCATTGCTTAAAGGACAAGTTCACTTAAAAAACCCAGCCCATGCTACCTAGACCCCAAACCTAATCTAACCCAGAATCCCCCTCCCTACGTGTTTATTTAACTCTCCACATCCGCATCGGTCTCCTTCACTGTTTACATCCCTGGGGCCGACACAGTGACTTCTTCTAGACTAATACAGTGGCTGTACTCCTATCGCAGGGGTGGTCAACTCCGGCCCTCCAGCTGTTGTGGAACTACAAGTCCCATAAGGCGTTATAGGACTCTGACAGATACAAGCATGACTCCCAAAGGCATGTTGGGATTTGTAGTTAAAGCACAGCTGGAGGGCCTGAGTTGCCCACCCCTGCCCTAGTGTTGTAATGCAGCCACATTCAATCTATGGGCAATCACTGTGTAGGGCCTGTCAGCGGCGGAGAATGTAGTGGAAGGTATTGGGGGTAAGCCTTTGAGGATGTAAACACTGGAAGAGGCTGTTGCTGTGGCGGGAGAGGTAAGTATGTACCTGGATGGGCGTTCATGGTGTAGAGGTAAGTACCTGGGCGGGTGTTCTAGCTTAGATTGGGTCAGTTAGAATGGGCTGGGTAAGTTAAAGGAGAACTATGAGGTGAGTGATTTCCACTCACCTCATAGTTCTAGCCGACCTGTGACAATGAGACTGTCACAGGTTGGCTCAGTAGATCGGGAGGTGAGCGAACATATACCGGCGTTCGCTCACCTCTCGATCCTGTCACGGCTCTCTGCCGTGACAGGGGAGGGGCTGGATTCCCCCCTCCCCGCTCCGATCCGCCAGCGCTGACTGGCGGAACGGACGGGGGAGGGGGCGGGTACAGCTGGCTCTGCCTCTAGATAGGCAGAGCCAGCTGTCACTCACGCAGCTGGGTGGATCTCGACATCGATGTCGGGATCAGCTCCAGCTGCGGCGTCTCAGTATACAGCTCGCGGTATACTGAGCCTAGGGTGACGGGAGGACGCTAGTTTGTGTCCTCCCGTTACCCTAAGGAGAACTATGGGGAATAGCCCTGACCCCATAGTACTCCTTTAATGAGAGATCTTGTACTATATACGCAGTGCCCATGTACGTGGGACACCCTGAACAATGAACACTACATGCATAGCCGCTGCTTTCCATGTACTTATTGGTGTATGAGACTGATATGTTCTCTATTGGGGCTCCCCAGATGACAATCTCCTCCCTCCTCTACCTCCAGGGTGCAACCTGGAACTACAGTCTCACCTTGCATGCAGATATATGTACATGCTTCTCCAATCATGTCTTTAGAAATGCCATCTGTGGTATGTTTAAGCCCGCACCATTTATTGTGTCTGTACAGCCCCCCATTTAGCCCTTACAGCAGGGGTAGGCAACCTCACCACTCCAGCTGTGTCAAAACTTCAACACCCATCATGCCACTGCTAGTCATGCCCGTAGCTGTCAGTCTTGCAATGCCTCGTGGGACTTGTAGTTTCAAAACTACACCCTTTGACCACCTTGTGCATGAGACATAATAGTAAGACCTGTAGAGGACTTGCTGCAATAAAGCATGCACAGGTGTGATCAAAGTCCACCAATGTCCAGAGCAGGGACGGGCAACTCCGGCCCTCCAGCTGTGCTTTAACTACAAATCCCATTATGCCTCTGGGATGGGAGTCATGCCTGGAACCTTCAGCTGGAGAGGCCAGAGCTGCCCATCCCTGGTCCAGAGACTTTCCATGGATGCTCCTGGGGTCTCCTTCCTCTCTGTGTGTGGACACTGACCCCTCTTGTCTTGCAGGAAATGGTTTTTATTTGACATCTCTCCGTCCTCCCGGAATAATCCTTTGCCAATTGTAAATATATTTGAAGTGGATTGTTTGCGAGCTTCATAAATCGGATGATCGGCGACATCAGAAATATCGGCCATTACAAAGTGTACATAATGCGGATTACAGAGCCGAGGTTCCCCCACCCTGCAGAGGAGAGAGGCTGAGAACACCTCCCACGCTCTCTGCAAGGGCCGGGAGTCTCTCTGGCTGCTGGAAGTATATTGTTCAGCTTTGTTCCACGGAGACGCCGTATTGCGATGCGTCATTATAAGCAGCCAGATAAAGGGCCCTTACGCTTGGAACATTGGCTGTGACTACAACTCCAATTATCCACAAGGCCCCTTTCACACGGGAATTCCCTAAGCCCATTTTTGACCCATGATCAAAAACCGAATGCAACTGATCCCGATTGGCGGCCGACTGTGCGTCCCTGTACATCTGGGTCTGTACAGGTTCCGCGGACCCAGTGCAGTAGGTCTGCATCCAGGTCAGCTTTTGCACACGTGAACAGATGTAGGCGGGTATAAACGCACATGCATCCGTGTACTTCCGGCCGCCCTTTTAGGAATTACATGGGTCTGGTTTTCCTCCATCTGCATCAATCAGAACGGTCATGGATGCACGGGGGGGTCGTCATTTACTGAAGGCAAATGGGCTGTTCACTTGCCATTGGAAGATTCACCTTAGTTAAGTGAATGCCGGGAAGCTCCGCTGACTTCCATCACCTAATCACGTGCAAACAAAAAATACAGTTTTTTTTTCTTTTTATGTTCCTTGCACATGAGCGGATATTCTTTGCCAAGTGAAATTTCACCCTATTCACCGAGCGGGAGGGCTGTGGTGACGCTACAAATCCTATAAAGCTAAAGGGAAGCTTCCCCTGCAAAGTGAACAGCCTGTTTGCCTTTAGTAAATCAATCCCATGGCATCCGTCTATGGCAGGGGTAGGCAATCCTTGGCCCTCCAGATGTTGTGGACAAATGCCTTACCGTTCACTGGCCTCCAACGTGCAATATGCAAATGAATTCTACTCTACTATGCACATTTTGGTCATGAGCAGAGAGGGGCCCAGAACTCTTTTTTATCTGATTGGAATATTAGAAATGTGACTGATCCGCCTCTTTCTGTGTTTTGTCGATTTGTCTGAAAAACACTCTAATCTGTGTGGGGTTGATCTAAAAAAGCCGGGGTGGGCAACCTCAGCGCTCCAGCTGCGCTATAACTGCAAATCCCATCATGCCTTTGTCCCTGGAAGTCATGCTTGTGGCTGCCAGAGTCGTGCAATGCCTCATGGGACTTGTAGTTCCACCACAGCTGGAGTGCCAAGGTTGCCTACCCCTATCCTAAAGTATTTGTAACACTCTGCATAGAAAAACTTTGCCTGATGTCTGTAATGGCTTTTAATTGACTTTAAAAAGTCCAGAAACCTAATTTTATATTGTGAATGTATGTGGGACGTCCTTACAGCGACGTGCGGGAGACTATAATATATAAAGAATATTTTAAAAAGTGAAATTGTCTTTTGTTTTTTTTTCCAGATTGTTTATATAATCTCAGAAAGTAAATTGAATTCAATAATCTGAGAGCTTTTCACTGCAGTCGTGATCTATAGTGCCTTGCAAAAGTATTCACCCCTTTGTGTTTTTCTGTTTTTATTGCATTACAACCCGGAACACCACTTTGTCTCCAGCCTCCTTGGTCTCCATGGGCCCAGCGGTGCAGAAAACACTATATCAGTATAGTGACACACTACCAGGAAGCTGCCGTTGAACTACAGTGGCCGGACAGCAAGTAGTTAAAATGACTCAACAGGCACAGATAGGGAAACACTTCTTGCATTGACTTGCTCTAGAATCCTGGACTCTTGATACACTTCTATCAAATGTTTGTTTGTCCTCCATGAGCCTGCGGGAAAGATTTTAACTTCTTGACCCCGTGACAGCAGGACAAGAATAAGACGCTGCTACTGCCTCTTATATAGATGGACTTTCTCAGAACCCCCCTCCCCACACACACACATGATTTGGGGTAATGAGCAACCTTACCAAAGCAAGTCGGCTCGCCTACTGAAATGGTTCCACACTGGATACCCATAATAGAAGATAACGCCCATTTATTTTCTGACTCGTCCCCATTTTCCTGAAGAAAGTCATGTTGCAATCGGTGTTTCTTCTTTTCATCCCCTTCTGTCTCAGTATGAAGAAGGGAATCCTTGTTTTATTGGTGGTGTCTTTAGGTGATGGACACGCCTCTCTATTATGAAAGATATGTTTCGTTTTTGTTCCTTACCTTACCAATGTGTTCCATCAAGTTTCCCCGGCTGCACCGGGCCATGGTGGCTAGGTATGTTGGAATTGGTCACCAGGAGTACAGAAGCGCTACTACCAAGTGGTGACTTGGCAAAACCAAATAAGGGAATTAAACTTACCAAAGAATGGGTACTGGTGCGTTATCATCGGCGAGGGGTGGATGGTTGGAAGTCCACAGCTGCTGAGAGTGATGGGCACTCAAAGTTGTGTGTGGGCAGATGGGGGTGTCAAAGCTGTTGGGGCTAAGAAGGGCTCAGTGTCAGTGGGAACCTGGGTCAGATGTTAAGTGTGGCAGGGATCTGGGATTGGGGGGGATGCTGAAAGTAGCAGGCACGGTGGGGACCGGGCTGGTGGATGTTTTACAGAGCTGTGAGGGATGTAACCAGGGTCATATATGCATTGTAGGACTGCCTGTCTGGATGGTGCTGGCCGCTGGATGAGGCCAGTTGGTGTGAGCCTGAACGCTGTGTGGATGAGCTCACTCTTTGGCTTGAAAAAGACCAGCTCTTCGAAGCGCGTAGCCAGCTTGGCATTGTCACTTCATACCTCCTACACCTCCGTTTCTCGCTCCCACCCGCTCTACCCCACAGACACACCGCTCGTTGTTCCGGGCTCCCTGCTCGTGCCCTCGAGCGGTGTAGTCTCACCCCTCCCACCGGCTTCCCTGGCCTCGGCGTCCATCTCCAGGCAACCACCCTAATCACCGGCTCCCCCGGACACCCGACGCTTGTCACCACTCGCCGCTCGTCAGCGAGCAATACAGGCTCCGCCCCTCATCCACACAGCGTTCAGGCTCACACCAACTGGCCTCATCCAGCGGCCAGCACCATCCAGACAGGCAGTCCTACAATGCATATATGACCCTGGTTACATCTCTCACAGATCTGTAAAACATCCACCAGCCCGGTCCCCACCGTGCCTGCTACTTTCAGCATCCCCCCCAATCCCAGATCCCTGCCACACTTAACATCTGACCCAGGTTCCCACTGACACTGAGCCCTTCTTAGCCCCAACAGCTTTGACACCCCCATCTGCCCATACACAACTTTGAGTGCCCATCACTCTCAGCAGCATGCATTACAACCCGGAACACCACTTTGTCTCCAGCCTCCTTGGTCTCCATGGGCCCAGCGGTGCAGAAAACACTATATCAGTATAGTGACACACTACCAGGAAGCTGCCGTTGAACTACAGTGGCCGGACAGCAAGTAGTTAAAATGACTCAACAGGCACAGATAGGGAAACACTTCTTGCATTGACTTGCTCTAGAATCCTGGACTCTTGATACACTTCTATCAAATGTTTGTTTGTCCTCCATGAGCCTGCGGGAAAGATTTTAACTTCTTGACCCCGTGACAGCAGGACAAGAATAAGACGCTGCTACTGCCTCTTATATAGATGGACTTTCTCAGAACCCCCCTCCCCACACACACACATGATTTGGGGTAATGAGCAACCTTACCAAAGCAAGTCGGCTCGCCTACTGAAATGGTTCCACACTGGATACCCATAATAGAAGATAACGCCCATTTATTTTCTGACTCGTCCCCATTTTCCTGAAGAAAGTCATGTTGCAATCGGTGTTTCTTCTTTTCATCCCCTTCTGTCTCAGTATGAAGAAGGGAATCCTTGTTTTATTGGTGGTGTCTTTAGGTGATGGACACGCCTCTCTATTATGAAAGATATGTTTCGTTTTTGTTCCTTACCTTACCAATGTGTTCCATCAAGTTTCCCCGGCTGCACCGGGCCATGGTGGCTAGGTATGTTGGAATTGGTCACCAGGAGTACAGAAGCGCTACTACCAAGTGGTGACTTGGCAAAACCAAATAAGGGAATTAAACTTACCAAAGAATGGGTACTGGTGCGTTATCATCGGCGAGGGGGGGATGGTTGGAAGTCCACAGCTGCTGAGAGTGATGGGCACTCAAAGTTGTGTGTGGGCAGATGGGGGTGTCAAAGCTGTTGGGGCTAAGAAGGGCTCAGTGTCAGTGGGAACCTGGGTCAGATGTTAAGTGTGGCAGGGATCTGGGATTGGGGGGGATGCTGAAAGTAGCAGGCACGGTGGGGACCGGGCTGGTGGATGTTTTACAGAGCTGTGAGGGATGTAACCAGGGTCATATATGCATTGTAGGACTGCCTGTCTGGATGGTGCTGGCCGCTGGATGAGGCCAGTTGGTGTGAGCCTGAACGCTGTGTGGATGAGCTCACTCTTTGGCTTGAAAAAGACCAGCTCTTCGAAGCGCGTAGCCAGCTTGGCATTGTCACTTCATACCTCCTACACCTCCGTTTCTCGCTCCCACCCGCTCTACCCCACAGACACACCGCTCGTTGTTCCGGGCTCCCTGCTCGTGCCCTCGAGCGGTGTAGTCTCACCCCTCCCACCGGCTTCCCTGGCCTCGGCGTCCATCTCCAGGCAACCACCCTAATCACCGGCTCCCCCGGACACCCGACGCTTGTCACCACTCGCCGCTCGTCAGCGAGCAATACAGGCTCCGCCCCTCATCCACACAGCGTTCAGGCTCACACCAACTGGCCTCATCCAGCGGCCAGCACCATCCAGACAGGCAGTCCTACAATGCATATATGACCCTGGTTACATCTCTCACAGATCTGTAAAACATCCACCAGCCCGGTCCCCACCGTGCCTGCTACTTTCAGCATCCCCCCCAATCCCAGATCCCTGCCACACTTAACATCTGACCCAGGTTCCCACTGACACTAAGCCCTTCTTAGCCCCAACAGCATTGACACCCCCATCTGCCCATACACAACTTTGAGTGCCCATCACTCTCAGCAGCCGTGGACTCCCATCCATCCACCCCTCGCCGATGATAATGCGCCAGTACCCATTCTTTGGTAAGTTTAATTCCCTTATTTGGTTTTGCCAAGTCACCACTTGGTAGTAGCACTTCTGTATTCCTTGTTTCTTTTCCTAAATAGCAAACGTCGGACACCCCGGTCCGCATTTCTAAGGAGCCACACACCAAGCACTTTAACCCACACTCATACACCCTCACCTTAGTGTTAGCGCTGCATCAGGGGACATTTCTCCCAATTTGTCGTTGGAATTGGTCACCAGCACACCAGAGGTCCACTTTACCGCTTCATCTTTATTTGACGTCACACAAGCATGGTATCGCATGCAGCATTTCAGAACCATTTGGCGGCTCCATCAGGGAAAATGGAGTGACTAATTCCTACATACCTTGATGCACGCGCCACCACCACCCGCAGGTCATTTCAGCACCCACTGAAGTGCGTTTATTGGGATTCTAGTCTGGTGTGCAATAGGACATTCTGAATACTGGATTTCGGCCATGGTGGCAATCTCGCGGTTTCTGGATTGGCTCCCTACCGGGGCTGTACGTGGGTCCCTCTGGACGAAGGAGTAGGGCCGGCCTGTATTTTCACTTTGCCTACTGGATCCTGCGTTCAGCACGCTCCGAGGTGAGCTAGGCTGCACAGGCAGCGGCACGCTGTATCCACTGAAGGTTATGCAAAATGTCCTAAATGGGCAAATTTAGATTAGGAGGGTGCACATGTTTAGTCTTGCCTAGGGCAGCACAAAACCAAGATACACCACTGGGTGCAATGCCTTGTGTTAGCTGCAGGGTGCTATACAGGTCCAGGGCAGTGGCGTATCCATATTGGTGTGACCCAGCCCCCAAAGACCCGAAGTGAAGGGGTACTGTACCTTGTTAAAATCAGGAAGAATGCATGGTTGGTGAGCCCTGTGCACACCTTGGAGTCCTGCAGCACTGCCAGGGATTTTGCTCACATCGCTGTCTGGCCCTGGTAGTCTGCTGTGGTGCACTGCAAAGAAATGCAAGTCACTTTAGTGCATTGGGGTGCCATTGAAAATGAATGGCAACGCAATACGCCATCAGATGCAGTAGTGCACTGCTACTGGGGGGAGGGGGGTGTAAATGAGCCCTATAAACATCTCAAAGTGTCTAAAAGTAGAAGGATCTGTATCCCCCCCTAGCAACCAGATGGGATCAACTGTCATTGTTCCAGTGCTGGCTGAAAATAAATGGGAAGATCTGATTGGCTATTCTAAGCATGGCAGATCATCTTCCAGAGAAACTGCTGATCCATATTACCTTTCCAGCTTCATTGATCCCTATTAACAGCAATCTTCCAACTACATGCATATAAAACCACTGACACACAGGAGGAAGTTGTATAATTTATTATATTCACAAAACACCAACATATTTTGTGCAACACCTTATGAAAATATAAAGGTTTACATCATTCCTTATATTGTCTCATATTAGGGTTGTCATCATTCTGCATGTGTATACAGATAGTTATATTGCACAGCTCATAATAAGAAAACGAAGCAGCTCAAGCAGTACATCGATAAGCATACGCAGGGGATCTCCAGTGTGCCCATGTCACTGAATCCCTTGGGGAGTGTTACTATAATGTAGACCAGGAGTAGGCAACCTCGGCAGTCCAGCCGTGATAAAGCTGCAAATCCCATCATGCGTCTACCTCTGGGGTCATGCCTTTGGCGGTCAGAGTGTTGCAATGCCTCATGGGACTTCCATAACAACTGGAGTGCCGAGGTTGCCTGCCCCTGATGTAGACAGACCGCTCTCAGTGCTGAACTCAAGCTAGCAGGACATGGTCTGTCTGAATTGTGTGTAGTGCTGAAGCCTGTCTGTAGTACAGACGCCCTCCGTCTAGCTGACACGAAGTGACAAACTGCATGAAATAGGTGCAGCATTGGATGTGCTGAGGCCTGCTCATTCCATAAATATCAGCTATTCTAAATCCTCTACTATAAAATATATTTCTGAGAAATCTTAATTATGTTGTCAATGATTGTCTCTCAACTTGTACATTGTGAATTTGCACCCCAGTACAATGATATTTCTAGAGCCCCCGTTATGTTACGCAATGTATTTCTTTGCCGTCCTTCGTGGGACACAGAGAGACTTTCACCTTCGGGTTATACTGTGGCCTCCAGGAGGATTGGACAATGGCAGCCAAAAGAAAAACTGTAGGCCAGCCCAGAATAACCCTTCCTACTACCGGCATGCCTTTGTTTTTTTCTTTTTTTGTTAAGAGGATGGACGTCTTCTCTTCTTTAGCTCTGCTAGGTGGAAGATTAAACTAAACACCTTTTTTTTTTCTTACTCTTCAAGAATTTTCTTCTTCAATCAAGGACTTTTCAACATTGCTGCCAGAGCTTGTCCCTTCTATTGCAGCTTTCCAGTCTCATCCTGGCTTCAGAGGGCTACGTCTGGACCCTCCTAGATTGCATGTAGCATGGATAACCTGGAAGTGACCCTTGGGACAGTGCGTTCCATGCAGAACGCTTTCCAGACGCTTTCTTATAGAAGTTGGCCTTGGATCGCATTCCAGAGCTAATGGCATTGTCTCAGTGCTTACCCTGTATCAGGTGCGTCCGCGGGCGAGCAGCACAGAGGGAACCCGCTGGCAGGAAGCAGCCGGAAGGGTCCGAAGGCAAGGTAACAAGGGGGCAATCCAAAGAGGTAGTCGAGGGTAATCCGAGGTCGAGGCAGGCAGCAGAGGGTCAGAAACGATAGGCGGTCCAAGGTCGGTACACGGGAGATCAGCAGAGGGTTCAGGAAACAGGCAACAAGGTACATAGGAGGGGAGCTTCGTATGTCACACCATGAGGTGGAATAACTCAGCAATAAGCCAGAGCTCAGGCCAGGTTTTTATAGCCAGGGGAGTTAGGACCACCCCCCGGTCACCGAGGCAACCAGGAGGCTTCCTTCCTCGGGAACCAATGGCAGGCGAGAGAGATCGAAGGTGTGTACAGGGAACCTCCCCCAGCAAGGCTCACACTTGATGCCTAATGGAGCAGGAGTACTACACGCGTGCCCCCGGGGATGTGCGCGCAGCCTGCGTACCGCGCATGCGCACCCACCGTGCGACTCGCGCATGCGTAACCGCAACACGGGCACCAGGAGTTCTGCCAAGCTGAGGAGAAACCCGTGCCATGCCCGTGGCCTCCAAACCGGGGCAACACCCCTGCTTCCTGACACCCTGTCTCTGAAGATTCATTTAGTGAGTAAGCCGGGTGGGTCGAACACTGGAAGCTACCTCTAATAGAATTGCTGGACACCAATAAAATTGCCCATTTGCTGCTGGTTTTGCCATGGGACTGAGTGATGAAGTCATCCGCTGGGTGGAGGGTCACGTATACTCCATGCTCTTGATGAAGCATGGAGAGCTGTCCCTGCTTGCAAAAAGCCAGTGACTGAACTGTGGCCATCTTGCCCTCACCTGCTGCCAGAATACCCTGAGCCTTGCTGTTACACTGTTGCAACATGTCTGATTGTAGACACGGTTAGGACAGTCCCACTTTAACAGGTGTCCCCAGCTCTCAATCTACGAAGGGTTCACAGGTTGTTTGCAGTGTGCCTACTGATGACATCAGCATCCTGGAATTCTGTTGCATTTTGCTCTTACAGTCTATTCCGTCATTGGTATTCTCTTCAGCCTTATCAGGGTTGGCTGGTTCCTCAGCCCCTTCAGCTGGTTCCTCAGCCCCTTCAGCTGGTTCCTCAGCTCCTTTAGCTGGTTCCTCAGCTCCTTTAGCTGGTTCCTCAGCTCCTTTAGCTGGTTCCTCAGCTCCTTCAGCTGGTTCCTCAGCCCCTTCAGCTGGTTCCTCAGCCCCTTCAGCTGGTTCCTCAGCCCCTTCAGCTAGTTCCTCAGCCCCTTCAGCTAGTTCCTCAGCTCCTTCAGCTGAGGTTTTTACTACAGCAATGCAAGACTTTATGGCCCAAGTCCCCAAGTGTTTTGATGCCTCTGCCCAAAGAGACTACAATCACACCCCTGGACTTTCTCCCACATATTCTATATTTGATTTACCCTTGGCCTTGCTGGCTTTTGAGCCATCAGCCGCTGAGTCTCTGCTTCTAAGTCACTCCAGTCCTTGACTGATAAGCTTGCCCCCTGTGGAGTCATAGCTGTTGCTGTTACTCCTAAATTAAGGTGACGCACTCGGTTCTTACTTATCTACAAAGATTGGAAACACCCCAACAAGCAGTTGGCTCCCCCCAAGTGCTTATTAGGCTTGTCCCCATTTGGGGAGGATTTTGTACTCCGCAGTCTACCCATAGTGTGGATCTGGCAGTGTCCTGCCTTAACAAAGCAACTACCACACCAGTGGAGGATGTATCTGCCTTTAAGGGGCACACCGGTAAGTGGTTGGAAGCCCTCTCTAAAACACCATTCTCGCTGGCAGGTCATGCTCTTCACGCCATCTAGGCTGCAATTTTTTTGTGCCAAAATCCCTTAAAGAGATCTTCCCACTGCTGTTGTTGATCCCTGGCTTATATGTTGCATTGGTCCCCTGTCAGTATACATGCGTAGGACACTTCTGTCAAAGTGCAGGAGCTAGCAGCCCAGCTCTGGAATTGGAAAGTCCTTCCTTCCTGTCTTTTGAAAGATCCTCACAAAGGATAGCAGCCTGTTGAACTAAGTTTGGGGCACCTTGGTCTTGGAGAAGTCTCATCTCTCGAGCAACATCTTGGAACCTAGGTTGTCTCTGCAGCCTTGGACCAGTCTGAGATCATCCTATCAGTCTGACAACGCCATGGCTTTGAGTATCTAGATGTCTCACCATGGAGCCAAAGTTTTCCAGAACCTGTGTCCCAGGTGGTGGTCACTGGATGTGGACCTCATGGTCAAGAGGCCTAGCAGAAGCAGTAGATGCCCAGGTGGCTCCAATGGATCAGAACACCCCAATCTATGCTTCTCCTGACCTTCCTAGTCTGTTTTGCAGGATCAAGGTGGGCATTCTGATGAATCTCGTTGCTCTGGACTAGCCAGGAAAATGTGGTACACTGATCTGGTAAGACTCCGGGCAGAAGCTCTGCCGGATTGTCAGGAACGCATATGGAAGGCATGCTTCACTTGGTGTAAGCCTCGGCGCTTTCACCCCAGGGGTTTCTCTGGGGGTTGAATCCTCTCCATCCTGCAACCAGGTCTAGACAAGCATTTTGCTCTGAGCACTAACAAGATCCAAGTAGCAGTATAACCTAAAGGTGAAAGTTTTCCAGTGTCCCTCAATGGACCCCCAAAAAAGCATTCTACTTTGAATCACTTGCAGTGTTCCCTGTTGACAGGGCAGCAGGGGAGTGTCTGTAGCCCTCTGCGCAGAAGCCCCTGTGAGTAACAGGGCAGCCATTGGCAGGTCCCCATCTCTTATCCACGGAAATATTACATGTCCAGAATGTGCCGTGGGCAGAGCATATTTTCCTGAATCCTTCCCACAGATCAGTGCCCGTATTGCCACTGTGCAGCCAGACAACTCCACAGCAGCCAATTTCGGATAAATTATACTGAAGTCAGTAAAGAATTAATAAGGGGATGGCATAAAAAAAATGAATACAGTTCAACGTCACCATGAAAAGGTGCAGGAACCCATTTTCCAGACCTCAACAGTAACAGCATGGCAAGAAGATATGCTGTAGTACCACACTGAGTACTTTAAATTCTTCAGCTGGACCAGGCTCCAAGGAAGGAGCAGGATGACCCACTGGCTTAACATATCATATAGAAATCAATGAAGGCAGAGAGGCACGTGCCCTAGAAAGGCTAATGCCGGATTCACATATTGCAGGGCTCAGGTATGTGTTGTATAACTTGATTCCACATCTAGCTCGATTATGAATGGCAGAGCATACCTTTGCTTTCCTGGCGCAAGTTAAAGCCCAACTGGACCAGTCATACGGCATATAGAGTATTGAATATGTCGTAGTCCTTCTTATCTATCTGCAAAGGGTTACAAAATTCTCTGTGCCACCACTAAGAGAGTCGGACCGCTGCTTTTATATACAAGTAGCAGCCAAGCTCTCTGACCCCCCTTCCTATGGTCAACACCCCTCTAATCAACAGTTCTCTCTGCTCTGCTCTAATCAACAGTTTTGCTCAGGGAGTGAGAGCAACGGTAATGAGATCAGTGGGATGCATAGGACTAGAGAAGAGCGGGGTGAGAGTGCGGTCCGACTTTCCTGTGTGCAGGGTTTTGGTTTTTTTTAACCCTCATTGCAGCACTTCGCTAACAAAAAAAGAGGAATATTTATTACTGTATATGCCACCTGACTGCATTATAGTAATACATTCGGGGGGCGTTCATTCCAGTTATAAATAATTCCAGTAACTGTGTGATGATGTCATGCTGACTGCTGTAAGTATGGCATCACATTGAGTTTCTGCACACCACTTGTATATACTGTATGTGGAAGCCTTCGATATCCCCATATAGGAACAACACCTCAGCAGTCCCTTGTCTGGCTCCTCACCCTCCAGTTGCAGTATGTCTGCTATTCTGTCCATCGTGCCGTAGCGATTTTTGGCAGTACAGGGATGCATGCCACGAGATGGCTGCAACAAATGCATGATAGCTACCCTTAAATTCCGTATCCCTGAATCATAAATAATATATCATTGAAACTTCTTGTGACCTGTAAACCTCTCTTGAGCAGGATTCCTCTACTCAGACTTGGATCCTCCTTGCTCAAGCCGTTATTTGATGTAAAACAGAAATGGCTTTAATATGTGATGCCCCCCCCCAGGCCTTGCTTAGCTGGTCATAAGGCAAAGCATACACATAATCAAGCTTATGCAATAAGGCAAAGTGGCCTGGCCAGACTACTTGGACTTCACCATACTTTGGCCTAGCTCCAGTAAACTATTACTAGTTTTTACAATATCTTTGCAATTTGCCTTATCATAGAAGAGTGATGATGATTGTTCACAGCAAGACGGTGTATACATGCAAAGCTCTGTATGTGCCCACATGTCTGAGACTCAGCTGTACAATGGCAGGAGCGTTGCCTTCTTTATGCTGCTCTTCAGCTCTTCATCCTCCACGAGTACCCAGCTGAGACTATCCACTCTGACCTGTGGGGGTTCCGGGCCGCTGAATACCCCCATGACGGTCAAACAAATTCCATCTTCACCGTCCCCGCCGAGGTGCTGCACTCCTAAAATGCCGTAGGCTTTGGGGGGATCTTGCAGCAGGTTGCGCAGGGGGTTGAGAATGCTTCCTCCATGGGTGGAGCAGACAGCGGCGGGTAGGCGGGCGGGGACACTGGCACTCCGCAGGACCCACAATTCTTCTGGTTTAGTTGAGCAAACTAGAAACATCCGCAGGATGAGGAATGGAGAGGGGTACAGCTGAGGTAGGATGTGGGGGTGCGAAGGTTGGTGCCTGTACTCCAGTGCCAGCTTTAGGAGAGGAAGTATATCTCTGCAGCGCAGGGGCAGAGGGGAAACCCTGTCCCACCAGGAGGCCTGGAGAGATTCCTTGTCTGCTGAGGCTGGAGACTTTAAAGTGCCACCTAGAAGGGGAACGGTGATCAGAGTGATAACATATCAGAATGCAAAGCAAGCAAGTGCAGTCACATAGACAGGAGCTACTCCTGGCAACCTACCAACTATAGTTAGGAACTACAGAGCCACATCGAGCTCTACTGTAAGTTTTAGAAGGGCAACCAGCAGGGGGAGCTCTGCACCCTTACCCTTTGTATCTATGTCCCATTGGCACTGTGACACGTGCTTTGATTGAGGCTCGATCTATGCACCTCTTGTGGTCTACAAAAAATGTCAAAAGGTCTGCGGTCACTAAAAAAACAGGAAAGCGATGAGACAAGCATTCTAAAACTCAATTTATACCAAACAAGGACGGTGTACAGAACACACATTCTCAGCTCCCGTCTAGCAAATGTTTTCCCATATAAACCCATCTAATTTTTAATAAAAAAACAAAGATGTGTTACATACATGTTATGCCAAAGCATATGTACATTAGGATGTATGATGTAACATATAATACACTGAAAGCATTCCATTCCTCTTTATTAAACACATTGAGGGGAATTTATCGAAACTGGAGCAGATGTGCACGGCAACCAATCAGCTTCTCTCTTTCATTTTCATATCTTAACTGGGCAGACTGGAGAGAGAAGCTGATTGGTTGCTTCAGATTTTGTCTGCTCCAGTTTTGATAAATTCCCCCCAGTATGAAGAAGAGACCCAGACTTGCAGTTGTGTGTGCATACATCTGGTGTTGTAGATACAGACCACAGTCCCCCCCCCCTAAAAAGACATTCCAGGAGATGTGTAAGGGTTCTGCATCTCCCCCACACAATTCCCAGTTACTTGGGACGCTCTGGCCGGCGTCCACGGCCCATCGAGTGACGTCACTGGTTGCCAGGAGCTCAGCAGGACACCGGCAACAGCTTTCCAGGTAGCTAAGTGCTAGGCGGAGAGATGTGTATGTCCCTTACTCATCTCCCTGCCCAGCTCTTAGGAACCTGGGACGCTCTGGCCAGAGAGGGGGGCGGCAGGCACATGGCAAACATTGTGCAGCAGAGCGGCCATGCCTCCCCCCCCACATGACCCAAAGACATGCTGCCTGAGGCTGCCTCATTGTAAGGACAGCCCTGAGGAGCCGACATATTCCCGGCTTCCTGGTTCCACGCGGGAGGCCAAGAGACGCTCCTGCAGAACAACATCTGAGACTTTTGGTGAACTTCTTTAAATACATTTCTTCATACCTGTATGTTGGGCGAGGAACACAAACCGCACCCAGGCGGCTCCCCTCTCCTCCACGGCCAGCAGAGTGATGGGCTCACAGGTTAATCCAGTCTCTTCTTTCACCTCCCGGCAAAGCCCGTCCACCAGGGTCTCTCCTCTCTCCAGTCGACCGGCGGGGGTGTACCAGGTGCCCAGACACTCAGTTTTGGCCTCCTGCATCATCAGCACCTCGTCCTGCAATGCAGAAAATAGAGGCCAGGCATTGCAACATTTCAATTGCCGTCCCAAATAGGGAGGGGCAAGTGCCTGAGTACTATGAGATTGTAAGCCCTCAGGGGCAGGGCCGTCCTTACCATCTTGTCTTGAATTGCATTGTAATGTCTTCCTTATATTGTAAAGCGCTGCGCAAACTGTTGGCGCTATATGTAATAATAATCATTTTAATAAGGAAAAGTCGTGGCAATTGTTTATGATACGCAGTACCTTGGAAAATTAAGTCGGGTATACACGGGATGAAGTTCAGCTGGCTTCTGATGAACCGGACGGAATTTGCACAGTGGGTGCCGCTGTTGGCCCCCTTCTGCCCGGCATCTCTCGGTCAGGTGATTGAAGGACTTGGCTGGAAAATTCCCGTAAGCATCAACGGGGGAATCTGTTCTATTTTTTGCAGTTGGCCCCCGCGGGTTGAACAAAAATAAATAGAAACCTGTATACCCGGCTTAAGGGAAGGTTCACACCATTTTTCCAGACCAGATCTGGTCCAGAAAGTGGTGTGAACCTGCCCGCAGTTCCAGACCAGACAAAATGAGACAAGCAGTATTTTTTTGGTCTGGTCTGGAACGGACTGCGCTGGTGTGAACAGAGGCCAGAAATAGCATAGGGATACATTGGGGTGCATTTTACAAACAATCTGGTCTGGAGATGATCTGGATGTGGTGTGATGGGCCCTTCCGGCCCGTGTGATTCCCGGCCCATCTTCCAGAGAGCACAGGGGACCCGTCTCACCTGATCATTCAGTATTACACCCATGACAATGTAGCACACGTTGTGTCTCAGCTTCAGGGGCCGAGGACTCTCCGGCATCATGTCATAGGTGTCAGGAAGAGGGGCGACTCCCCCGACTAACAGAGTTTTCAATTCTTCCTCCAGACCTGACGACATATCTGAAAGACAGAAAAGAAATCCTAATTATATATATATATACACGGATGCTCCTTGGGTTGTGATCAATCAACTTTCGCGTTTACGATGGAGTTTACTGTACTGTACAGGAAACTCCCAGTTATTCGGCACCCACAGGGATCGCTAGGTGCAGGATAACTGTACTTTCTGGTTGCTTGACAGTAAATAGTAACTCCCAAGCAACCAGCCCCGAGGCGCTCCGCTTCCCCATTGCCCTCCCGGCTCGCTTCTGCAGCATGTAAACATCTGGGATCAATGGTTTCAGTAGCAAGACTGCTATTGGCTAAGAGCAGGAATGGACCTGAGAGAGGAAGTTCTCTCTCAGGTCCGCTCCTCTGCTCAGTGGGCGGGTGCAATGGCCAGCCTGCTATCGGCTATTGCAATTTGAAATAGCCAATAGCAGGTTAGCTATTGATCCCCGTTGTGTACTATCTGCTGCCGACCGTGGCAATACAGTGCACTCCTCGGTTTACGATAAGTTACCAGAACTTAACCCGAGGAGTGTCTGTAAATATACATACACCATGTCACCATGTTACGCCCTGAACATGGGTAGAACATAAAACACAGGTGTAAAGGTAAACTGAGCAGGTAACTGACAGCGAACAATACTGCAGAAGGAGGCCAGAAGATGGCCGCCTCCACATTCCTCCGAGGGAGGCCGTCCTCTAAGATTCTCCAGCCGTGGATAATGAGGAGCTCCCTGTGTGCGGCCGACTTTATTCCTGCAGACCGTCCATCTTGTCTGTACAGATCACAGAGGACATCAGTCGCCTCTGATACATTGTCATAGAGCACAGACTGTATCCGCGTCCTGTATGAAATCATCACATCGCACCGCCGCCATGACAACCGATATCTGTAAATATGAATCCGACCTCACACGATGGAAGTGTTACAGACTGTAATCTATTGTACCAATCAGAACGCACATTACTGAAGATCAGTGCAAGATGGATTCTGATTGGTGGCAGCTCCTGACCCCATTTTACAGTATAAGCCCATAGAGAGAGAAAGAGGAGAGGGAGGAGGGAAGGAGGGGGGACAGAAAAAGGAGGGGGGACAGAGAGAGAAGAAGGAGGGGGAGGCACAGAGAGAGAGAAGGAGAGGGGCACAGAGAGAGAAGAAGGAGGGGGAGGCACAGAGAGAGAAGGAGGGGGGACAGAGAGAGAAGAAGGAGGGGGGACAGAGAGAGAAGAAGAAGGGGGAGGCACAGAGAGAGAGAAGGAGAGGGGCACAGAGAGAGAGAAGGAGGGGGGCACAGAGAGAGGGGAGAGAGAGTGAGAGAGAGTGGGGGGAATGGGAGACAATAAAAAACATTAAAAAAAGAGAGAGCAATGGACTATATATACTGTATACGGTCTACGACTCCTGCTCTGGTGATGTAAACATTCTGTATGATCCCTCCCTGTGTTCTGTATACAATGCACCCTGCTGTATATAATGCACACCCATCTCCCCCCCGGCTGTCTGATGATCCCTCCTCCCCCCGGTGCTCTCCGTCGGATCTCCCCAATAATTGATTCCGCCTGATCACAGTCCCCATCATCTCACCTCATTCCTTCCAACCCGGAAGTGGCGGACTCGCTTCTCTGCGCTGATTGGTGGAGGCGGGTCGAGCCTCTCTTTCTTACTGGACAATCGCAGGCTCTGTTTCCAGGCGGGGCGTGTCTTAGTTTAAAAGCATACACCCTCACCAATCGATACACGTTACATAACGCTGCCATGAGGTGGGGGGTTGGGAGACTCACATCATCATTATTATTATTATACAGGATTTATATAGCGCAGTTTGCGCAGCGCTTTACAATATAGGGAAGACAATACAATCACAATTATCACTGATTACATTATGCATGTATTTCACACACACTATGATGAATCCATAACAGACATCTTGTATTTAGATTTGTGATGGCGTCACCTGGTATGTATATGTGGGAGAGCAAACACTGACGATAAGCACACATAGGACGCCTAACCCTTTCAGTGCCAGAGGTGTTTTTGCACTTTTTTTTTTGCACATGTTATAATACACATTGTAGGCCTGAAAATTACTTAAATCCCCCTCCCCCTCCAAATTACATATTTCCTGGAAGCCGGGTCCCTGTAGAATAAAATGGCGGCAGTTGCAGATTGTTATGTTGCATGATGTTAGCGCAACTCTTTATCAAACCCGTTTTCAGGTGGTGGGGGTCCTCTCCGCACACCTTACAGCAGTCCTGGCCAAATAAGAACGGTGGTGCTCGCAATGACTATCACGGATGGCACCGTGCAAAATATTCAGTAAAAGAAACAGGTCACCAGCACTCGTTTAGAATAAATATGTCCTTTTTTAATGGACAATTGTGTCACTACAATCAACAGAGCCGACGTTTCGGGGCCGCACAGGGTCCCTTCTTCAAGGCAGTAAAATTGTGACCATGTCACCTGTTTCTTTTACTCTTTATCAAACCCGACATTTTTGGTAAAAAATACACTTGTTTATTTTATTGGACAAAAACACAATATAATACCCAATTCTTTTGTAAAAGATGAGTTTGTGCCGAGTAAAAAGATACCCAACACGGCCAGCTTAAAATCTGTGTGCCCTTGAAACAGAAATAGTACACCAGATTGTCCATAAATGCCGCTTTAAAAGCCAGTACAGGTCATCAGTTTAGAATTAACAATGGGGCCGGGTGGGCCTTTCAGGAGGCCGAGGCCAAGGCCCAGTAGTGCAATAGTGTTAGTACCTGTTCATTTAGCTGCAGCAGTGGAGGAGGCCAGTGCCCAGCAGCGGGCGGCTCGGGGCCAATAGGTAGGAAGAGTGCAGGGAAAGAGACCCCGGCCAGCTCACCCGAGACCCCGCATAGCACACCATAGTCTATGGTGGTCTCCGTGAGGTCACTTGTGAGCTGTGCAGTCTTTGGTATGTGCAGGTCGTTCTACAGGGTCACCCTCAGTTGGGCTGTGTGGGGGTCTATGGTGGGCTGTGCAGCAGTGAGCAGCGGACTGATCTGTTCTTCGGCTCCAATGTCAGAGCCAGCAGGAGCAGATCTGAAGAGGAGACAGCGCAGGCACAGGAACGTGCTCTGGAGGTACTTTTTTGATGGGGAGGGTGGTTGGGGGCCTGAGATTTCTAGTTACGCCCCTGGGCCTGTTCTCCTTGGAATTGTGATCCTCACCTTTCCCAGGATTCCACGAGATGACCCTCTGATAACAAATCACCCAGACAAGCACACCTGGAAGGGGAGGTTTGGTCTCAACCACATAGGTGGGCCTCGCATTTTAGAGCACGGTCTGCATTGTAGCTTTACAATAAAAAAAACCTGCTGGCAGGTATGACACCTGGATGTCTCGGTCTCTACTGTCCCCCCCCCCGGGTAAGTCTCTTACCTGCCCACCAGCAACGTTTCTTCTGGATGTACTGGGAGCTGTGGATGCACAGCATGACGTTGATGATAAGATGACCACACGATCATAGAAGAGGAGGGGCCCTTGTGGGACACATTGGCAATACCAGAACTGGAGTTCTGGTACACCCCCCCCCCAAACAAGGCTGGGTTCACACCTAGGCGTAACGAATATGCGCATTTGTCACACGTTTTGTGTCGCGTGTTTTTACCACGATTCGCGGTTAAAAAAAACGCGCGTTTCCGAGGGCTACCTGGCTGTATCCCAATGGATACGCGCGACAAAAACGCCCCAAAGAAGCTCCTGTACTTCTTTGGGCGTAGGGCGTTTTGTAGCGCGTTCATACGGCCTGTAATACGCCCAGGTGTGAACCATACCCATAGGAAATAATGGGATTTCGGTGTTTGAGCGTTTTGCAGAGCGCAGGAACGCGCTACAAAACGCCCAGGTGTGAACCGGGCCTGGGTATTTGATCCTTAAAAAGTGCAACAAATGCCAAAATATTTTATTTTCCTCCCGAGGCCAAAACAAGCTCTTAACCCTTGCAGTGCGGGGAGAGCCCCACTACGAGGGTTAATAATAATTTTCTTAATGTTCTTCTTTAAGGCAAACACTGTTGGCCTGTTCGAGAAGACCCAAAACTCATTCCAGTAACTGTAAAAAAATAAATAGATCAAGGCAACTGGACTGGCTGTACATTTCTTGAAGATGTTTTGCTGGTCATCCGACTAGCTTTCTGTATCCAGATTGCATTGAGAAAGCTGGTCAGATGACCAGCAAAACGCCCTCAAGAAAAATACAGCGAGTCCAGTGGCCTTGATTCGTTTTTTTTTTACACATATACCACGACCTGGATGAAGGAGAACCTTCACAGACCCAACCATACTGTACCTGTAACCTGCACGGCCTTCACTCACACACATCTTTTCACTGTTTCACTTGAAAAATGATCAGCTAATTATTAGGTATAAAAAAAACTCAAGCACACGATTTCAGCAAAACAAAAAAGAAGTTTATTTTCAAGGATATCAAAAATAGGAAAAAAGATTACCGACAATAAAAAACTGGTCAGAAATAACAGGCACTTGAGGTGAATGAATCACCGGCTACGTAGGGATCATCTTGTAAACAAATCGATGACCAGACAGGAAGGACACTTTGTTCATCGCGGGG